CCCAAGGAACACACAGATCTCAAACACCTACTCATATCCACTCACCGCTCCAGAGAATAAAGGAAAGATAGCAACCAAATCTTTAGTGAAGCTGAATGAAAATCTTAACTGGATCGATTTGTGTGCTTTTCAGTGTGGGACTGGGGGTTGAGGTAGGGGGGAGGTTGTCCCCGTTGTGAAGTGCTGATGAATCTGCCTCCAAACTGGCTGCAAGCCAGTATCACAGAAGAGTGAATTTCTCTACCCACCAGGGACCACTTCCCCTTCCCCAAAAACAACCTGCTTATGTCCCACACTTTCACTCACTCCCTCTCTTCGCTTTGAAATATTGAAGGTTAACACAATTTTAAAAAAAGAAAGCAAGAAAAAGAACGCAATTTGAGGACAAATTAAAAGACCACTAAAAATGGGGGTTTGAGATGATAAAATATCAGACATTATTTTTAAGAAATAATTTTATTTTTTTTGTGAAGAATGTTCAAAACACAATAACAGAGTATAGTGATATTTCTCAAGAGCATTTTAGCTTAATATTCTAGCATTGCTTTGTAAACAGTGAAATTGAGGGAATTAAATCATGAATATTAAAACTAATTTAACACAGAAGCCACTATAAACAACATGTTTATTAAAAGCCATAACTGTAGCATATTGATTAATACACTAATTATGTAATCACTTAAATGGAATGAGAAATACTGAATAGGTTTTTTTGTTGTTGTTGTTTGTTTGTTTTTTTAGGGCAGAAACAATAATAACGCCGACAAATCGCCTCGACAGTAGAGATGTAGGCAGAGGTGTAGGCAGCACAATAGTTGGCATGTATCGCTTATGTACGGACATAATAAACACATGTTCACACACTCAAAAAGTACAGAACTCTCATATCCAGGCGCCAAACATATCTCGCCCTTTTCTCTCTCATCTTCTCATCACCTCTACATGCACCTTTTTGTAACTCTTGACTTTCACAATAAAACACGCCAGCAAGCACTATCGCTTTACCACAAAAACAGTGAAAAAAAGTTTACCACTTTCTCTCTGATCCTCTCCCCGCCCTCTCTGCTTCCTCCACATTCCAGTTTCTCCTTGAAAACATTAAGAGGCTGTCTGTCAGGGAAAGCGAGAGGAATTAGGAAAGAAAGCATCCCTGAGCCAGGTGAGATTACTCCCCTCAACTGAGTCCATTACTTAACAGGGTCAGTAGTTAACAGCAGGAGCCAGATCCGTTCAGCACAAAGACCTCTGAACCAGCAGCCCCTCTTCTGTACAGTAGCGTAATAATTCGCAGAGCTGTCCACAAAACAAAAATTGAAATTTAACTTTCCCTGTAGTTGCTGTTTTACTTAAAAAAACACTGTATTTATTTATTTTCTAACATATGACTAAGTGACTAAACTTGTTTGCTCATTTTAGCTGCAGATCTAATTTGCCTCAGTTTTGACAATGACCCTGTGACAGGCACCTTCCTGCCACCAAAGGTTGAAACAGTCACGCTTCCTGTGGCTGCTCCATCTTAGTCAGCACTAGCTGCACCGATGGTATTGGCACTGCCCTGGGCTCTGCTCTATCTGCCGAGAAAAGGTGGTGGGTGTCCCTAACCACATATCCTCTTTCACTCTCCTCCACTCCACCCTTCTCTTTCTCTCAACCAAGGCTAGCCAAGAGTCGTTTCATCTCGCACCCACACACACATGCAGCACACAGAGGGGGGAAAAAAGAGAAAACAGACACTTCACTATAATCACATGTAGGCTACACACACTCCTGTACACATACTCAAACATACACCTGATCAAAAAAAAGGAGAGGGAGTGACAGAGATAAGAAGAAGTAGAAGTAGTAGAAGAAGAAGAAGAAGAAATAAAAGAAAAAGATATGCACGGATACACCACTAACGTACATAATCAGAAGTCCGCAGAATGTAAGTCTAAAAAAGTCATTAAAAAGAAGAAAAAGAAAGTAGAAAAATGTAATAAATGTCGTTCTTTTGCCAAAGTCTGAAAGGGACCTTATTAGTTCATATATTTGTTTCATTCGGGAAGATATATAATATATATTGGTATTGTATATATATATATATATATATATACATACATACAAAAAATTGGAGCACCCATAAACCGCTTATAACTGGCCTAATTGTAGGTGTAAACATGTTTTTTTTTTCCTTCCGCGTTTAGTTTTCAGATCTCAAAATATAAGAGAACATTATACATGTTTAATAAATTAAATTAAATTAAATTAAAGCAGCTGTAAAATCGGACAAATCGAACACAATCTGGCAGCTATTTTATGGCTGTTTTAGCTTTAATGTTAACAATTACTTTCACTATAAGTCTATGTCTAACACCCATGTCGCACCCGCAACCCGAAGATTTTTAGTTTTTGCGCCTTTCATTTCATCAGTCAAGAAATTCATCATTTAAGAGTAAAGAACTGATCCAATTACAGTGTTTTATGTTTTGATGTGGCGATTAAAGTTATTTGCTGCTAAATAAGACTGGCGTTTTCAGCAAATCGTTTTGCAGAAAATCTTTAATTTTCAGTTTTATTCGTTTTAAAATTATAATTTTTATAATTAATAATAATAAATATAAATAGGCCTATAAATATAAATATAACATTAATAACAACAACGTATTTGCCGTTGCCGTTGTATTAGCCTATTCATTCTTTCATCGAAAATTTCTCGAAAGTTGTTATACAAAATCTACACATCTACAATATAAAATTATTTTACATTTATATTTATTAGAAATTGCCATTCATGGAATGGGCAACAGGGGAAAATAACAAGTTGCGCAAACATAAGAGGATGCTGAAAGAAGGACTCTTATAGAGCGTGGTGGACTTCGACTGCACCAGCATCTCAGAGGTTTCACGGGAGATCTGATCAGATTCAGCACCAGAAAAGCGTTTACAATGTGAACTGATCACAGCCTTGTTTCAGCACCGCGTGTCAAATGAATCACATCAAATGAAGAACCTGTTCGTTCATACTGCAACCGATTAGTCGAGATTGAGCAATTAGAACCCATTAATAACCAAACCCACATTAACAAAACTAGGCTGCTGCATAAAATAAACCCCCAGCACAAGCATCCAGAATATTTGCTCATGTGGTTTTGATATTAATATCGACCATTACACGTGGTCAGTAGTGTCAGTATCATTTGTGGAAATGAGCAGGTACTTTAATTAAAAAAAGAAGAAGAAGAAGAAATCGGAATCGAAAATTAATTGAAGATGAAGGTGTCTTGATCTTCTTGATAACAGTAGCCTACAGATAAAGCTGAAATTAACTTAAGACGCATACATTTGGTTTAAATTACACGCTCAAAAAGGTTTGCAGCCGCTCTTTTAAAAAATACATTAGAATACAAAATACACTCAAAAATACGCATTAGCAAAAACACATATTTAGGGGAAACAGCTGCAGTGTCATTGCTTTTTAAAGAAGGAACATTAAAAAACTGAGCAATATATATATATATATATTTTTTTTTTTTATGAACAAGAGTATTGTTTTTTGACATTTCTCTAGAAGTTTTCTTTGACATTCACTCAAAAAGGTTTGCATGCACATCATTTACTGTATGATATTTAAGCAGCACAACAGCATTTGAAGAGCTGAGACAATATTGTTCTGACAAAATAATTGATAGCAGCCACACTACGCTGTCATCAATGTTCAATACATACGAGACTCTTTTAATAAAATTATTATATTCAATTATTTATTGAGTGATTTACAGTCGAATTCAAATAAACTGCATTTAACGTATGACACTCATATTTTATGTCAAGGATAAACGGTATAAACACTTAATCACCCTGTTTTTAACAAATGTTCTAAGCTGCGTCACAATTCAAGAATGCAGAAGAAATTATTTAGAGAATTTGTTACTAAACGCTTAGGGTCTATACAGAATGTCCGTTAACTTGTCATAAGTGTAAGAACCCTTTAAAGCTCGTTCTTTAAAGTGTTTTCGTGAAGGATTTAAGCGCAGGACTGAATCCACCTGCGCTGGAGCTCCGATGCGCCGCAGAGCTCAGCGCGCGACTGATCAGTGCCATTCAAATCTTTATTCTCGCTCAGATTCTGCGTTTCTAAGTCAACTACGACCGCGCAGAGTAAAACGTTTCAATAAAAATTAACACATAATTATTTAGTGAATTATAAACGTAACGAAAAAAATATTATTACGATTTAATCTTTTTTAATATCAAATAAAATCAAAATGTTTTTTCATATCCGTTTTATGGTGTTCTGTTTAAATAAAAACGCATATTGGTGTCTCAAATAAAGAGAGCTGATAGAGTGCAAAAAAAGTTCGTGAGGAATCTGGAAAGAAATGTGGATGGACCCCCATTGTCGGCCAAAGGAAGTCCAAGGGCCTGCGCTCGTATCAGCGTGTGCATGACACAGAGAAACCAGCCATGATGATTAATGTTCTGCTCACCATCTCTCCCTCCACAGACCCCGATCCCCCTCCCATAAACATTCTGTCCTGATAAAAGCATTCAACACAGGAACTTTACAATAACTACACACATTATAGAGCTGTAGATTTAACACAGCTACGGAATCTGTTTTAGAGGATGATGGTGTTAACGACTCCAGCAACAAGCAGATGAAGTCAATTAGATGTGTGCCACAGCCTGATCTACCAAGGGTCACCAAAACAAAATGAAAACCTCCCACACTGACCCGATGCATATTCACTAATGCAATTTATAAAAGCTCATTTTTCTTCAACACTCAAAAACTTTACAAAGAAGGCTGAAATTTGTCACAACGGGCATCAGCCTCTAAACTACTGAAAGAAGCAAGGCAAAACATAGCTTACACATGTAGCAAATGTTACACCAACCATTTTTTTCACACATTCATACATACGCTAAAAAAAAGAAAAAAGAAAATCATGCTTACGCACAAGCATACACTATTTTAACACACGTATAACAGCTACACAGAGAGACAGCATGCCACTGACCTGCTGGGACATTCTGAAGAGGAGGTTGCTGTCAGTGCTCTGCTGTGTCCATGTCCCCATGAAGCCCGGCTCGGCACTAGCCGGTCTGGTGCTGAACTGCATGGAGCTTCCTCCTTCTCCTCCTCCTCCCCCTGCACCGCTGCTGCTGCTCCTGCTGCTGGCTCTGGCCGTGGACTCGCGTGCCCTCTCTCGATCTCGTTCTCTCCACACCACACCGCCTCTCACATCCAACTCTGTCTCCTCAGACTGCCGGCAGAGAAGAGGGGGAAGGGGGGTGGACAGGGGAGCCGGAGAGAAAAGTACGTTAAGGTGGAGGTTCAAAGAGGCAAAGGGTGACTGTTCTGTTCTTTTTTCTCTTCTGTCCTATTCTTTCTTTCTTTTTCTCTCTCTCTTTGCTATCTTCTCTTGAGAGAGGGGGGAAAGTGGAGGGTCTTGCCTGCCAGTAGCAGGAGGAGTGTGTTGAGTTAATTCAGGAGCAGGGCTGCACAATGCATATTTCCTTTGGGGCATGTGGTGGTAGAGGGCAGGATGAGCGGAGTGTCGGAGGTAAGGAGGGAGGAAGAGAGGGATGGGGGTGTGAATTGAAGTGAAGTGAAGAAGGGAGAGAAAAAAGGGGGAAGGCAGAAAATGAAAGAGGAGATGGTGAAGGAGAGGAGTAGCTTTTTTTGCCCTTACCCCCCACCCCCAAACACACTTTTTTCCAAAATGTCAGTCAGGCTGTGTATGGGCTGTCCTCCAAACATACATGGACATATACACAAACATACATTCCAAACAGAAATCAATCGTCAGACAAACTTTGTCACCCGTAACCTGCCCTTTGACCCCATTGCACACCTTGACACACAAAGTAAAAAAAAAAAAATACTGCTTTGAATTTTTTTACATTTTGCATGTAAACTACACATTCGCTCCTCATGTGACTATGCTCCATACCTTCTAATCTAAACAAACTATCCAATCACTGTAACAGTTCTTTAAAAAAGTTTGATTTAAAAGAAAGCAACAAAAATGACTTGTAAACAAATTTTCTAAAAGCACAAGACAAATCATCCCTCCCTTCTCCCCAAAAGGTGCCCTCTCTCACCAGCGTGTCCAGCGTGGTTTTCCTCCCAGCTGTGTGGAGATCAGGTGTTGGAGTGTGTCAGTTCCAAAGCAGCCCCTCCTCTCTCTCTCTTTCTCTTTCTCCTTCCCTCACTTTCTTTGTGCTGCTTTCTTTCTTCGGGCCCCTTCTCGCCCTCAGAGATGCCTGTCCTCTGTCTTCAGACTAACTCCAGCTAGCACTGTGTCAGTGTGCATGTGCGTGCAGCCGTGAGTACATGTGTGTTGTTGTGAGGTAGAGCATGTGTGTGTCGGGCCGCAGCGCGTCTGAGTTAACTGCTCCTCTCTTCTTGCTGGCACTCAATGACACGGCTCTCTCTCTCCTCCACTGATCTGCTTTCCCACTGAGAGGGAGAGAGAGGGAGAGAGAGCAGGAGGGGAAAGGGTTGTCCCTGTCTTATTACCAGCTCTCCATGCCTGATGCTTCTCCACTCCAGACCTCAGTGGGATTGAGCCACTCTCTAATACATGCACTCACACACACACACATGCAGAACTGGCCCATCCACACAACTATTCCAAGCAAATAATGCATTTGTCAATACAATTGGACAAGCTCCAACTTCTATAATAACCTCAATGCTAAACCAAAAGATGTTTCTGAGCGTTTCAATTGCGCTGTTTTATTTTTCTTTATTTTGTTCTTATTCTTTACAGGTAGTGAATACGCAAACAGTGTTTAAAAATTTCCTGCAAAAAAGTGAATTATTATATAAAAAATAATGAAATAAAAGTATTTCTATTTCATTGCTTACGCATGTCTTCATGTCAACTTTCACACCGTGTGGAATAAAATCTGAATGTGTCATTAATTCAAGTATTTTAAGGTGGGCACATAACCATTTGATTTTATTACAAACTCTGATTCCTTTGTCTGTTTTTTCTCCTCTAGTATTAAACAGCTCAAGCTAATGGTCCTACGTAATCAGTCCACGTCCCCCCCCCCCCCCCCCCCCCCCCCCCCCCCTC